CTGGTGGATCAGAGCCTGATCAACCAGGCTGTTGCTGCTGGCTGCACGCAAACCAACGTACGAGCCACAGCCCGGCTGGTCAGGAACCGACTTTAGGTGCTTGTCCAGTGCCAGCTTGAAGACTGCCAGGGGTCTGTTGGTAATCCCCCTTATGTATGCTGGGAGGCAGTTGAACAGTCTCGGGCCCCTGACACTTATTGTATGGTCTCTTAACGTGCTAGTGACACCTCTGCTTTTCATTGGGGGGATGTTGCATCGTCTGCCAAGTCTTTTGCTTTCGTAGTGAGTGATTTTCGTGTGCAAGTTCGGTACTAGTCCCTCTAGGATTTTCCAGGTGTATATAATCATGTATCTGTCCCGCCTGCGTCCCAGGGAATACAGTTTTAGGAACCTCAAGCGCTCCCAGTAATTGAGGTGTTTTATCTCCGTTATGCGCGCAGTGAAGGTTCTCTGTACATTTTCTAGGTCAGCAATTTCACCTGCCTTGAAAGGTGCTGCTAGTGTGCAGCAATATTCAAGCCTAGATAGAACAAGTGACCTGAAGAGTGTCATCATGGGCTTGGCCTCCCTAGTTTTGAAGGTTCTCATTATCCATCCTGTCATTTTTCTAGCAGATGCGATTGATACAGTGTTATGGTCCTTGAAGGTGAGATCCTTCGACATGATCACTCCCAGGTCTTTGACGTTGGTGTTTCGCTCTATTTTGTGGCCAGAATTTGTTTTGTACTCTGATGAAGATTTAATTTCCTCGTGTTTACCATATCTGAGTAATTGGAATTTCTCATCGTTGAACTTCATATTGTTTTCTGCAGCCCACTGAAAGATTCGGTTGATGTCCGCCTGGAGCCTTGCAGTGTCTGCACTGTCATGCAGATTCGGGTGTCATCTGCAAAGGAAGACACGGTGCTGTGGCTGACATCCTTGTCTATGTCGGATATGAGGATGAGGAACAAGATGGGAGCGAGTACTGTGCCTTGTGGAACAGAGCTTTTCACCGTAGCTGCCTCGGACTTTACTCTGTTGACGACTACTCTCTGTGTTCTGTTAGTGAGGAAATTATAGATCCATCGACCGACTTTTCCTGTTATTCCTTTAGCACGCATTTTGTGCGCTATTACGCCATGGTCACACTTGCAAAGTATGTATATATTACATCTGCATTCTTTTTATCTTCTAGTGCATTTAGGACCTTGTCGTAGTGATCCAATAGTTGAGACAGACAGGAGCGACCTGTTCTAAACCCATGTTGCCCTCGGTTGTGTAACTGATGGGTTTCTAGATGGGTGGTGATCTTGCTTCTTAGGACCCTTTCAAAGATTTTATGATATGGGATGTTAGTGCTATCGGTCTGTAGTTCTTTGCTGTTGCTTTACTGCCCCCTTTGTGGAGTGGGGCTATGTCTGTTGTTTTTAGTAACTGTGGGACGACCCCCGTGTCCTTGCTCCCTCTCCATAGGATGGAAAAGGCTCGTGATAGGGGCTTCTTGCAGTTCTTGATGAACACGGAGTTCCATGAGTCTGGCCCTGGGGCAGAGTGCATGGCATGTCTTTTTATCGCCTGTTCGAAGTCATTTGGCGTCAGGATAACATAGGATAGGCTTGTGTTAACCAAATTTTGTGGCTCTCTCATAAAAAATTCATTTTGATCTTCGACTCTCAGTCTGGTTAGCGGCTTGCTAAAAACTGAGTCATATTGGGACTTGAGTAGCTCACTCATTTCCTTGCTGTCATCTGTGTAGGAACCCATCTTGTTTAAGTAGGGGCCCAATACTGGACGTTGTTCTCGACTTTGATTTGGCATCGGAGAAGAAGTACTTTGGGTTTCTTTCGATTTCATTTATGGCTTTCAGTTCTTCCGCGATTCCTGACTCCTATAAGATTCATTTAGCTTAAGTTCGATGCTTGCTTTTTCTCTGACCAGTGTCTCCCTACGCATTTCAGATATATTGACCTCTTTTAGCCGCTCTGTTATTCTTTTCCGTCGCCTGTAAAGGGAGCGCCTGTCTCTTTCTATTTTACATCTACTCCTCCTATTTCTTAGAGGAATAAGCCTTGTGCATACATCGAGTGCCACCAAGTTAATCTGTTCTAGGCATAAGTTGGGGTCTGTGTTGCTTAGTATATCTTCCCAGCTTATATCGGTTAGGACTTGGTTTACTTGGTCCCACTTTATGTTTTTGTTATTGAAGTTGAATTTGGTGAATGCTCCCTCGTGACTAGTCTCATAATGTCGGTCTGGGGCTCCACGCATACATGTCTGAATCTCAATTATGTTGTGATCTGAGTATATTGTTTTTGATATGGTGACATTTCTTATCAGATCATCATTGTTAGTGAATATGAGGTCTAGTGTATTCTCCAGTCTAGTAGGCTCTATTATTTGCTGGTTTAAATTGAATTTTGTGGAGAGATTTAAAAGCTCGTGTGAGTGTGAGTTTTCATCAGAGCTGCCTCCTGGTGTTATTACTGCAACAATATTATTTGCTATATTCCTCCATTTTAGGTGCCTTAAGTTGAAATCCCCCAGGAGCAAGATGTTGGGTGCAGGAGCTGGAAGATTTTCCAGACAGTGGTCAATTTTTAGCAGCTGTTCCTGGAATTGCTGGGATGTTGCATCCGGAGGCTTGTAGACTACCACAATGACTAGGTTTTGGTTCTCGACCTTTACTGCTAAAACTTCCACTACATCATTTGAGGCATTTAGCAGTTCTGTGGAAACAAGTGACTCTGCAATGTACAGGCCAACCCTCCCTCCCCCTTTGCCTGTTCACTCTGTCACATCTGTATAGGTTGTAACTGGGATCCATATTTCGTTGTCCAAGTGATCCTTTATGTGGGTCTCAGTAAAAAGCCGCGAACATTGCCTTTGCCTCTGCAAGCAGTCCACGGATGAAAGGTATTTTGTTGTTTGTTGCTGGCTTTAGACCCTGTATATTTGCAAAGAAGAATGTCATCGGACTGGTGGTATTGTTGGTACTGGGGGAGGATTTTTTTTCCGGCATTAGTATCCGTATCTGTTGGTTTGGAGTGGAGGCCATCGACTGTGGTTCCACTCCAGGAATGACTGGATTTGGTGTACGATTTCTGCCATTTCCTGCCAGTTTTTTTTCCTTCCTGGCACTAAAAACCTCTCCCTCTTGAGTGGCTGTGGTTACCCAGGTTTTCCCATGGCCTGGATGTTTTGTATCTTTTTGTACCCTTTAGATGGTGTGCCTGGCAATTTAAGTTATAGCACAGTCTTTCCTGTACTGAAGAGGTACACGTTTCAGGGTGAAAAGCTTACAGGAAAGGAGTTTGCATTTTCCTGTTGTCATATGGGCATGGCATTTTCTAGGGTGGTCATAGCTGCACGTCCCGTCTGTTTTTCCAGATTTCCCATGTCTGCAGATGCTAAGTGCATAGTATGTGCACAGGCTTGGTTTCCGTTTGCCTTGGGTTTCTGTGACTGTATTCCTGTTGGTGCATGTTTCCCTGTCTTATTCCTGTCCTCCCTAGCACCAACAATGGAGCTCCCACCAGTTGTTTTTGGTAATATATCCTCACTATTGCTAGTGGAGTCCTCTTGTTTGCTATTTCCTGTGGTATTTCTAGTTTGCAATATTGGTTTTATCTTATCTTTGACTACACTTGTTTCCCCACTACGGCTCCTGTCCATATGAGGTCATTTATATGTATTCCTTCCTGCGTATAATTCCCGACTACCTGGACAAAATCTCCAGCTTCACCATTATTGTCTCCCAGGACAGCACCTCCAGCTTCACCATTTACTGTCTCCCAGGACAGCACCTCCAGCTTCACCATTACTGTCTCCCAGGACAGCACCTCCAGCTTCACCATTACTGTCTCCCAGGACAGCACCTCCAGCTTCACCATTACTGTCTCCCAGGACAGCACCTCCAGCTTCACCATTACTGTCTCCCAGGACAGCACCTCCAGCTTCACCATTACTATCTCCCAGGACAGCACTATAAGCCCCACATTTACTGACTACCAGGACATCACCTCCAGCCTTACAGTTTCTGACTACATGGCCAGTATCAAGGGCAGTACCATTCAGCCCAGACTTTTTATGTTCCCATCTGTTGTAGAAAGCTTCCAGGTTGTCTATGAAAGCAGCTTTGATGTTATCCCCTTTTAATACCCTTGTGATTTTAGTCCACAGATTTTCCTCATTTGGGCATACCCAAAAACACTTCCCTGTTTTAATACTGCTTGTAGCTAGTTCTTGGATATCTGCACAAGGGGCGTGACACCAATTTCCACAAAAATGACAATTTATCCATGTGGAAGCCCGTTTGTTTGATTGACTGCAGACTATACAGAGCTTCATAATGATTTGAATGGTTGATTAGTAGAAACCTTTTGAATACTCTATTAATAACCTCCTTAAATGTATTTCTATTTCTAACTGTACTTGTATATTGGACAGCTTACCGTGTACGTTCCTGATTTATATTTATTGTTTGTGTTTGATAAGGGCGCTAAGTTTCAAGAATCACTAGGTTTCAAGAATTACTAGGTTTCAAGAATCACTAGGTTTCAAGAATCACTAGGTTTCAAGAATCACTAGGTTTCAAGAATCACTAGGTTTTAAGATCACTAGGTTTTAAGAATCACTAGGTTTCAAGAATCACTAGGTTTCAAGAATCACTAGGTTTCAAGAATCACTAGGTTTTAAGAATCACTAGGTTTCAAGAATCACTAGGTTTCAAGAATCACTAGGTTTTAAGAAGCATCATCCCAGCATAAGGCTGGGATCATGCAGTACGGGGATACCTTTCTCAGATCGTGCAGCGACCGATCATCAAGGCTGATATGCAGTACGGGGATATCTTTCTCAGTTCATGCAGCGACCGAGCATCAAGGCTGGGATCATGCAGTACTGGGATACCTTTCTCAGATCGTGCAGCGACCGAGCATCAAGACTGGGATCATGCAGTACGGGGATACCTTTCTCAGATCGTGCTGTGACTGAAACTCTTCAAGTTATTACTCACTTACCTTAAGCATGCGATCAAGTTCTTGTCTGAGGAAGATGTTCATAGGCAAGATGGCACCCATCCTCTGCAAGGCCTCTCGTATCTGGGAAAGAGTATACACACTAGTGTAATATCAGTCAGCTCGGAGGAACGGGAGCTGCTCTGAGCTGACTGATAATACACTAGGAAGAGGAGGAAAGGGAGAAGGAGGAAAAGGGGGAGGAGGAGGAAGAGGAAAGGGAGGATGAGGAGGAAGAGGAACAAAAGGAAGAAGAACATGAGGAAGAAGAGGGGGAAGAAGAGGAGGAAGAGGAGGAGGATGAGGAGGAAGAGGAGGAAGAAGAGGAAGAGGAAGAAGAGGGGGAAGAAGAGGAGGAAGAGGAAGAGGTGGTAGTTTTGGAAAAAGAGGAGGAGGAAACTAACATGAGGAAGAGTTATCTTGAGAAGCAGGACAATGATTAAGAAAGTTAAATAGTAAACCTAGAATCAACAATAGGAGAAATCCAATGCAGGTTGAAGAAGTTAAGAAGTGAAGGAAGATGGAAAGAAAGGCAACAAAAAACGAACAAAAAGGATCAAAGAAGAAATAGGAAAATGAAGAAAGTAAGGAAAACAGAGTTCATTATCTGGGAAAGAGATTCTGTAATATATCAGTGCTGATTAAACCGTTACATATTATTATTAATATTGAAGAGAAAGATTTCCTTCTTTGCCATTTGGTAATTATTACAGAAGAAATCAAAGACCAAATATAAATCTGCCTCCATCAAATTTCCATTTCACTCTTACACGTCATGTTTACAGCTAGTTCGGCACAGTTAGGCAGTGAATCAATTTTCCACGACTCTGCCCTGAATGAGCCACACTGTGATTTGATTAAAATCACTGTGTGGGCGAAGCATATTCATGAGAGGATGCATTCCACTGTATTTGCATCTATTTTTCTCATCTAGTCCGTATTTTATAAAACTTTTCTCCATGACCCACACAGTTTTAGTATTTTTTATTTATATATATAAAAAAAAACTGACATAGATCAATATCTTGCCATCTACTTCCCTTTGGTCTCCTAACTTGCCCAGGTGCAACATTAAGACTGTGTGGATCTTACCTCATATTGTATGTAGTCTGGTGGCAGCTTGTTGAGCATATCGTAAGCCAGACGGGAGACCACAGCCTCCCTCGTCTCTCCGCCTCTCTGTCCACTTTCTTTAGGTTGCATGCTCAAGATGGTGTCCAGAATGCTCTTGGCTGTGTTAATTTGATACCTGCATGAAATATGTCAATCGTAATCTTTATTTGTTTACGAGACATTAAATACTGAAGACAAGGCATCATGAGTTTAGCTACGAATAAGTAATTACTAAAAGGATTATACCTGGAACATATATACCTGTGGCCGGTTTCGAGAGGTTCCAACTTTGGAAGCCCATCCTAGGAGTCAAGCTTTGCTGCCTGGCTTCTGGAATGGGCTTCGAGAGTTTTGATCAACCAGGGTGTTGCTGTTGGTGGCCTGCTGGCCCACATATCTATCATAGAAAGTGGTAATGACCCAAATTTTTCCTCTTGAAAACTTCTACATTGTTTCGGTAATATTTGTGATATCAGCTGGTTTGCAAGTTGAATAGTCGAGGACCACGGCTGTTGACATACTGTTCTGTACTGTGTTAATGTCTTCCTGATTTTCACTAAAATATCTCTCACCCCATTAGGTTGCTATAGTGGTGAGTAGGTTTGAGATTAGGTCCTCAGGTATCTTCCATGTATATATTGTCAGTTATCACTTGCTTCGTTGCATCCGGGAGAGCACATACCCAGCAGGTTCAAGGCTCTGTGTGGGCAGTAAACGCTCTCACTATATTTCCAGCACTCTTGTGCCTTGAACGAAAGGCATCAACATCAGACAGTACTTTTAAGTGAGAAAACACAAATAATTTGAGTAGTGTCACCACTGGCATTGTTTCTCTTGTTCTGATTTTTTTTCCTGACTTTCGCATGTTACCTCATTGTTTTAAACAAACTGACTGGTCATCTGGCACCTGTCATTTGTTTACCCTAAGCTTTTTGATAAATTAAACACATGTGCAACACTTGGGCATCTTTAAAAGGGGAAACGTTTCGCCACACAGTGCCTTCATCAGTATGGACCCGATAAAGCCACTGTGTGGCCGAAACGTTTCCGATACCCAAGTGTTGCACATGTGTTTAATTTATAACTTGTCGGGTTTTTTGAACGATTTATGGTGGCTAAAGCTCCTGCTTCACACACGGAGGGGGCCCGGGTTTTTGATTCCCGGCGGGTTGGGGAAAAGTTTTCGACACGTTTCCTTACACCTGTTGTCCTGTTCACCTAGCAGCAAATAGGTACCTGGGGGTTAGTCGACTGGTGTGGGTCGCATCCTGGGGGACAAGATTAAGGACCCCCAATGGAAATAAGTTAGACAGTCCTCGATGACGCACTGACTTTCTTGGGTTATCCTGGGTTTGGGTAACCCTCCGGGGTTAAAAAAACCCAACGAAATCTTATCTTATCTTACATCTGTGTTGAGATTCTTTCCCAAAACCTCCTTTGTTTATGAATTAGAAATGGCCAATACGATAATATCTAATACAAAAAACAATTTCTGTTACTAGTGGTGAAGCCCTTTTTTTGATAAGAATAATGAATAATGGTCTGAAAAATATACTATAAATAGTAATAAAGTTGGTAGAATTCCGACAATATGTAAAGTAAAAGGACACAAATGCAACTAATGTGACATTTATTGTGGCAACGTTTCGCTCTCCAGGAGCTTTATCAAGCCTTTACAAACAATACATGGACACAGAGGGGATATAAAGGCTCCCGGTGAGGTGAATTTCTAGTGAGGTACCATCCGATGTTCACTAGTGGTAGTAGTAGTAGTAGTAGTGGTAGGGGACAAAAGCAATTAATTCGTACATGAGTAAAAGGATACAAAAGCTATTATTTGGGTAACATAAAAATAGGTTGGACAAATATAAAACTGGAATGAGGCAGGTTGTTTCAGTGTTCACTCTCTGTGCTTTGGTAGTATAACAGGAGAGACTATGTGATGGCAGGGTTTACATTTTTTCAGGAGGATTCTTGCTAAGACTTCGGAGATGGTGAAGCTGCCGTTGTTTTGTTTAATTGTATTCGAAACAGCGATCAGTGCTGATTCAAGGCATTTGGGTGCGGAAATTAGTTTCTTTTATCATAATTGGGCGTCTCTGAATTTCATAAGATGATTGGGGGAATTTTCCCGGTGTTGTACACGGGCGTTTTTTATGTTGTCGTTCCTACATGCGTATATGTGTTCATTGAGGCGGGTGTCGAGGTTTCTTGCTGTTTCACCTACGAAGATCTTGTCCAGCCTCCACAGGGTATAGTGTTAAACTCCTGCATTGACTGGTTCGTGGTGCTTGGGTTTTGTCCTGGTTAGATCCTTTATTGAAGTGGTAGAAGCGATGGCGACTCTGGTGTTAGCTTGTGAAAGTACTTTTGAGACGTTTAGTGCAACCTGGCTTTTGGGGAAGAATTATAACTTTGTTGGGAGCGGTGTTGATGCGTGGAAAATTTGATGATCTGAAGAGCTTTTTCTTGCAGTCTTTGTTGAAAAAAAAAGGGAAATTGTAACTCAGTGAATGTTTGGTGAATGTAAGTACATTCCTCGTCAAGAAACTCAGGACTACAAATTCGGTATGCTCTTAGGAAAAACCGATGATGATCCCTCTTTTGGTTTGGTATCTTGTCGGGAAATTAGAAGTGTGTGAGATCATTTTTATTGGTGGGTTTCCGATAAACTTGAAATCTTAGGTTGTTGTCTACTTTGTGAATGAGGACGTCGAGGAAAGGTAGCTTGTCATTGGACTCTTCTTTGTGTAAACTGAATCGTGGTTCAACTGCGTTGAGCCTTGCCTAAAAGATCCCGTCATCAAAACGTTTTGGGTTATTACGAGGACATCGTCCACGTAACGTAACCAAGTGACGCTTGAAGGGATGATGTTGGGGGAAGTGTTCGGACTCTAGGTGTTCCATGTATAAGTTGGCTAGGACGGCACTTATTGGGGACCCCATTCCCATGCCGTAGGTTTGTTTGTAGAGCTTGTTATTGAAGGAAAAACAGTTGAAGTTAACACAGAGTTCAATCAAGTCAACAAAATCTCCGGGAGGTAAAGGAAGATTAAGGTCCTGGTTGACTTTACGTCGTAGAACCTCGATGGCTTTTTTGGTAGGTACTTTTGTGAAGAGGGAAGTCACATCCAAACTGCTTAGTTTCTTTGTTACGGATGGAGAGGTAAACCACAGCTAACCTCCAAAGAAGATCAAACTCAATCGCAAACTTCAGTACCTCTGCACTAACAGTCGGTGGAAGGAAATGGGACGCGAATCCCTGATAAACAACTTATCGTCACGCACCTTAACCGACTACGAGAAACAAGCACTGAGTCTGGGACTCAAATTTACCACCAACATACGCAAACCTAACTATCAACTCAATCTTGTTACCAGGAACCATAGACACAGTGACAAACAACTTCCAGAAGGGTTATATACAGGGCCTTCTCACTGCAGCTTTTTTGTGAACCTTCTTCTTCTAATCTTCCTAGAAGATACATCATGCCCTTAAGGACCTCGCCAACGACCCCAACATTAATCGTCACCACCGCCGACAAAGGAGGTGGAGTCGTCATACTCAACACCCGTGACTACAAACACTAAAATGATGGACCTTTTGAATGATCAATCTACATACGAACCTATCAGCACTCAACAGTGGGAGACGCTCACCAAAGACTTTCTATACAAAAACAGACAAATACTCAAACGCACTAGAGAAGGGAAGAAACTTCTGTACTTGTTACCAAGCAACCCTAAACCAGCACACATGTATGGTTTACCCCAAGACCCATAAACACAATATTCCTCTCAGACCAATCACGTCAGGGGAAAAGGCAGTGCTCCACACAAACAGCCGGAGTTCTTGCCAAACATCTTTCCTGCCTTTGGGGACCATCAGCCCCGCTCATCTCAAACACTCAGGCGACCTTCTCAACCGCATCCGTAACCTCTCCCATCCGTAACAAGAAACTAAGCAGTTTGGATGTTTACTTCCCCCTTCACAAAAGTACCTACCAAAAAAACCATCGAGGGTTTTACGACGTAAAGTCAACCAGGACCTTAATCTTCCTTTACCTCCCGGAGATTTTGTTGACTTGATTGAAATCTGTGTTAACTTTAACTGTTTTTCCCTTTAATAACAAGCTCTACAAACAAACCTACGGCATGGGAATGGGGTCCCCAATTTAAATGCCGTCCTAGCCAACTTATACATGGAACACCTAGAGTCCGAACACTTCGCCAACATCATCCCCTTTAAGCGTCACTTGGTTTACGTACGTGGACGATGTCCTCGTAATAACTCCAAAACGTTTTGTGTACGGGATCTTCAGGCAAGGCTCAACGCAGTTGAACCAGCGATTCAGTTTACACTAGAAGAAGAGTCCAATGACAAGCTTTCCTTTCCTCGACGTCCTCATTCACAAAGTAGACAACAACCTAAGATTTTTAGTTTACGGAAACCCACCAATAAAAATGATCTCACACACTTCTATTCCAGTCAAGATACCAAGACCAAAAGGGGGCATTTATCATCGGTTTTTCCCAAGGCATACCGAATTTGTAGTCCTGGTTTCTTGACGAGGAATGTACTTTCATTCACCAAACATTCACTGAGTTACAATTTCCTTCTTTTTTCATCAAAGACTGCAAAAAAAGAGCTCTTCAGATCATTCAATTCTCCACGCATCAACACCGCTCCCAAAAAAAGTTATAATTCTTCCCAACAGCCAGGTTGCATAAACGTCTCAAAAGTACTTCACAAGCTAACACCCAGAGTCGCCATCGCTTCTACCACTTCAATAAAGGATCTAACCAGGACAAAACCCAAGCACCACCCAACCAGTCAATGCAGGAGTTTACACTATACCCTGTGGAGGCTGTGAAAAGATCTACGTAGGTGAAACAGCAAGAAACCTCGACACCCCCCTCAATGAACACATATACCATGTAGGAACGACAACATAAACAACGGCCTGTGTACAACACCGAAAATTCCACCAATCATTTATGGAAATTCAGAGGACGCCCAATTAGTGATAAAAAAAAACTAATTTCCGCACACGGCAAATGCCCTTGAATCAGCACTGATCGCTGTTTCGAATACAATTAAACAAAACAACGGCAGCTTCACCATCTCCGAAGTCTTAGCAAGAATCCTCCTGAAAACTGTAAACCCTGCCATCAAAATAGTCTCTCCTGTTATACTACACAAAGCACAGAGAGTGAACACTGAAAACAACCTGCCTCATTCCAGTTTATATTTGTCCAACCTATTTTTATGTTACCCAAATAATAGCTTTTGTATCCTTTTACTCATGTACGAATTAATTGCTTTTGTCACTACCACTACTACTACTACTACTACACTAGTGAACATCGGAATCTTACCTCACTAGTATTCACCTCACTCTGAGCCTTTATATACCCTCTGTGTCCATGTATTGTTTGTAATGGCTTGATAAAGCTCCTGGAGAGCGAAACGTTGCCACAATAAATGTCACATTAGTTGCACTTGTGTCCTTTTACTTTACATACTATAAATAGCTGGTTTAGAAAGACACGTAAGCAAACACTATGACATATTATAAATAGTTAAATCTGAATTTTGAATTATGAATTAAAATTACCTGAATGAATCTCATTAGATACATACCAGTAATTTTTTAACAGTAACAAAGATAATTGTTCTTTATCAAGGTTACAGAGACATGTAGGAATTTTAGGACATCCTAGGTCGCAAAAAAATGTCCTCCTTCAATACCTACTCCACTCATATCTCCACAAATCACTCTGGACCTATATTAATTTCAAATGAAATATACATCACCAGGAATTCTGGTACAACATTAATATAAATATGTGGACTGTATGTTAAATTTAATAAATGGCTACACATACATTGAAGGAGAATTTATAATAATAACACTCATCAATTTGTCTGGAGATTACTTGGTGAGTCATACACAAACCCCTGCCTAAAATATGAAGAAAATTCTGGCCAGAATTTCAACATAAATAGACATCACTCAGTTGGAGTAATTTTATCCTGTTTCCATCTAATTACAGAGTCCTGTCCAGTCGCCTAATGCTCACGTTATGCAGGACTGCAAATCCAACAATTTCGGCCCTATCTGAGAGGTTTTAAACACAATTTAACCTCTAGAGCGACGAAAATTCTTCTGATTCTTCCTTACGTTTCTCTTGCCCAGTTCAAAAAAAAAATGACGACTCCCCTTCCTCAGCGACGCTCACCACATCGCTGGTTCTTTATTTATTTACAAATTAATTTGTATTACCTACAATTATTCCATCAATTTTTCATACAAAATACACTGTATTTTCGGAAAATATACAGTATTTTCCACAGATATTAAATAATATGCAATGTATACTGAATGATGAGAGGAACAATATATTTTGAGAAGGACATTTTAATACATAATTGCATTGTCTCTATGTAATTCACAATTTTCAAGTATACCAGTTAAAACAAGTTTTTTTTACGTAGAAAAGCTCAAGTAATGTATTTCACTTACGTCCAGTGTCTCTAAACAATTGTTCTCCCAACATCCCAAGATGGCAGCAACACTCACGTGATGTCAGCGTTGGGGTGAAGACCAAACACCTCTGGTGAGTCTGTTGCCGGTAGTAGGTTGACAAACTCAAGATACTCAGCTTGGCTCTTGCACATTGGTAACCCGTAGCCTCTGTAGAACCTGCGGATCATATAATGTACAGAAATATAAAAAGGACAGTAACTGAAGGTAGGCTAATATCATAAGTGGATTCTGTTTAGTATCAAAAGAGAGAAATAGGTTAATTAATATAAACGAAAGAGAAAGTACAGTAGTCTAAGTTCATTTTTTTTTTACCACAACGATTGTTGTTTTCCACAGACTGGTAAATGCATTCACCAGCATCTCTTCAAAAGCTGTCTTACCAAAATTGCGAAAAATCGAAATTCAAATAACCTTTTGAATAGAAATGTCCCTATCCATCCTTCAGTGTACAAAGAATATGCTTCTCAAGTCACGAATTTAAATCCGTCTAACAGATTCCCCTAAAACCCTACCAAATCCCAATACTTCCTAGTTTCCACTAACTCCAATATTTTACACTCCTACTTGATGCTTAAACCTCCCCCTACTCTGAAACCTCCTTGACACCCTTTATTATAATCCTTCCAGAGATGTTCCTTGCATCTCATTCAATCCATTCTAGATTTATACACAAAAGTGTATAAATCTTATCTCTCTCCCTTTTTTCTAAATGACCAAACCATCTCAACAACCCTTCTCAGCACATATTTCTTAATGCCTCCGACCTCTTCCTTGCTGCAACACTCAAAGAAATTCCTCTCACTAACACAACAGTGTTGGCACAACATTCAAAGGATGCAAAGCAGGCAAAGTTCTCGCTTTACACGCTGAGGGTCAGGCTTCGATTCCTGTCAAGGGTGAAAATACTTTGGAGAAACTTGCCGACTAACAATGCTCTTTTCTGTCACGTCAGAAATCACAGCCATCCTATTGACTGGACTTCTGCTAAAACTGTCAGAAATCACAGCCATCCTATTGACTGGACTTCTGCTAAAACTGTCTTCCCTACTTCCAACTTTAACAGTCGCCGTCTGGTTGAATCCTCCATAATACACAACTTTCCTTGTATGAATCTTAGTCCTGGCTTCGTCGCTGTAGATGCCTTCCTCTCCCACTACATTGTAAAATGCTCCAAACTTCAGAACACCCGTGACTTAACCTGATTCCTCCTTTTTTCTTCTTCTTCTCCCTCTTCCCCTTTCCTTTTTCCTTTTTTCTCTTCTTGGTTGTCTTTCTTTCTTCTGTCTTGTGTTTCTGTTCCTTCATTGTTTATTTCATTTTCCCCTCCCCCCCACCTCTGTGTTCTTGCTCTCCCTCTGTGGGCACCTAGCTCCCTTGCAGTGCTCCCCTTTCTTTGTATTTACTGGCTCCTCCTTACTTCCCCATTACCACTTCCTTCCATCTCCGCCACTACTACTACCACTACTACTACTACTACTACTACTACTACTACTACTCTACTACTACTACTTCTACCACTGCCTCTTCCTGCCTATATATACCCGTCTTGCTCTACTTCTCGTTTGTGTGACTTTGTAAATGGTTCAAGTCGGACCGAAACGTCGTCATAAGCTCCTCTCTTCTATGTACGGGTTATTTGTGTATCGTTCCAGTCACGGTATTGTGTCTTTTTTTGTTATTTGAGGGTGAAAACAATGGGCGTGTTTCCTTACACCTGCTGTCCATGTTCACTTACCAGTAAAATGGGTACCTTTGTGTTATTCGACTGGTGTGGGTCGAATCCTGGGACAAAACTGACCTAATTTGTCCGAAATGCTTTGCATAACAAGGGGCTTTTTAGATAGTAGTATGTCATTGATGTCAATTAGGCCTGTATACCTTGTACATGCACTTGTATACCTTGTACATGCACTTGTATACCTTGTACATACACTTGTATACCTTGTACATGCACTTGTATACCTTGTACATGTACTTGTATACCTTGTACATGCACTTGTATACCTTGTACATGCACTTGTATACCTTGTACATGTACTTGTATACCTTGTACATGCACTTGTATACCTTGTACATGCACTTGTATACCTTGTACATGCACTTGTATACCTTGTACATGCACTTGTATACCTTGTATATGCACTTGTATACCTTGTACATGCACTTGTATACCTTGTACATGCACTTGTATACCTTGTACATGTACTTGTATACCTTGTACATGTACTTGTATACCTTGTACATGTACTTGTATACCTTGTACATGTACTTGTATACCTTGTACATGCACTTGTATACCTTGTACATGCACTTGTATACCTTGTACATGCACTTGTATACCTTGTACATGCACTTGTATACCTTGTACATGCACTTGTATACCTTGTACATGTACTTGTAGAAATAAAAATATTATAAGAAAGGGAAATGTACTCAACTGTATTTCTTCATATATGTACTCATCTGTGGTATAAACCTTGGTAATAAATACCGACAAGTTGGTTTAGAAAAACACGTATGGAAACACTAGGAAAACGTTTCGATCCTGGGACCCTGAATTGATCAAGGTCCCAGGACCGAAACGTTTTCTGTTAAATATATTCTAGTGTGTGCATACGTGTTTTTCTAAACGTACTCATCTGTGTATTATGGGGAAATCATGCTGCAGTTCCTGAACCTTGCTTCGTAAGTGACATTAGTCATATGTATTGACATCTAAATAACATTAATGAGCTTATTCTGGCTTCATATTGCTCCAGTGTATGCCATAAGTTGAAGACTAAGACACATGTTCAACAGTTGGGTATATTTACTGATGAAAGATTTCACCTACACAGTAGGCTTCTTTAGTCAAATACAAAGGTAGCAGTAGAAATGAAATAAAGATAATGGTTGATGGACTGATTACATTATAATTAGTTCATTTGTAGTGCTTGTTTGGATTGGAGTGAAGAAGCCTACTGTGTAGGCTAAACGTTTTGTCAGTAAAGATACCCAGTTGTAGCACATATGTTTTAATCTTCACGTTGTCAGGATTTTATGCCATTTTCAATAATACTGTGAGACACTGCAGCATCTTGATGCAGACGACATCTTCCAGTCCTCATCGCGTATCTACTAGTTATGAGTGGAAAGGGTTGGATTCCAGATGGATCTGTCTTCTTATTTGTACTAGTGGATCCCATCCCTTAAAACGTCTTCCAGATTTTCCACCTCATCTTCGACAGTATTTAAGACTCCATTCTCATGCTTCAGCCTCATATCGTTCCAGACCATGGAACTCTTCTCGAGACTGAGGGACTGATCACCTGAAATATTTATTCTCCAAGGTTGATGGACTGATTACGTCTTTATTTCATTACTACTGCTCCCTCTATATTTGACTGATGAAGCTTACTGTGTAGCCGAAACGTTTCATTAATAATGATACCCAACTTTTGCACATGTGTCTTAAACTTCAACTTAATATAATATAATAATATAATACCTTTATTTACTACAAGTACATGTACAAGGTATACAGACCATAGCTGACATCAGTGACATCTAGAAAGCCGCTTGTTATGCAGAGCATTTCGGGAAAATTAGGTTAGTTTTGTCCCAGGATGCGACCCACACCAGTCCACTAACTCCCAGGTGCCCATTTTATTGATGGAGAACATAGACAACCAGTGTAAAGAAACACGCACAATGTTTCTACCCTTGCCGGGAATCGAACCTGGACACGCGCCGTGTGAAGCGAGAGGTTTAGCCACCAGTGCCATAAGTTAACCATCCTCATAAAGAAAAAAGTTCTTTCTTACATTCCTCTGGCTTATTTTTTTCTATGAATATTCATAGTTGTAGCACACTCCTGTGAAAGTTTTTTTCTTCATGCCTTAGTCATTACCTCTGATCGTCTTGACTATTGTAAACTTGTGTCTTCATATCTACAAAGTTGCAAGACTTTTGAACTCCGTAAATATAGTCAAAGTCCTTTATCCCATTAACAAGAATAGCAGTAAATGCTGAATTAATTATCTCTGCGTGCATAAATTACCCAAAGTCAATTGTAAAATGTCTCTCAATATGTCACATGCGAAAGTTATCATAAGTATGTGTGTATATCCTACCTAAAGTCAGAGGTAAGAAGTCTTTCATTGAGCCAGACGTGAAGGAAGGTCAACAGAAGCCTCTTGTCAAAGTCTTCCGTCACTCTCCCTCCGTATTGGATCTCACCCAGCATGTAGCAGATGGTCACCCATGACACGCCCTGTAGGTTGCTTTGTTAGTTGGACCTAAAGCCTAAGGGATACTCAATAGGTCATTAAGATTGCATGTTACCTGTTCATAATTAGTGAAGAAAACTTGAACTCATAAAATTAGGAGTAAATCTCTGTGTATGTACGTTTGCGTACACACACTGAGAGATATACTGTATACCTCTTGGTGTATATATCATATTCCTTGAAGAAGACAGACATTCTCAACATTCAACATTCTCAACCCCTGCCAATTTGGATTCAGGCCTAATAAAAATACTAATGATGCTATTATACACATGCTAGAACATATATACACTGCAATAGAGAAAAAAGAAGTCCCTCTGGGGATCTTCATTGACTTACGTAAAGCTTTTGATACAGTTGACCATGACTTGCTCCACGTAAAATTGTCACACTAAAGGTATTAGAGGGCACTCCCTCAACTACCTCAAGTCTTACCTCAGCAACAGAAGCCAATATGTGTACGCAAATGGGGCAAGCTCTTCCGCACAACCAATTACAGTTGGTGTCCCCAGGGAAGTGTCCTTGGCCCTCTTCTCTTTCTCCTATACATAAATGACCTACCAAATGCTTCGCAATTGCTCAAACCCACACTTTTTGCAGATGACACTACATACGTCTTCTCTCACCCGAGCCCAGTCACGCTAGCCAATACTGTAAACACCGAATTACAGAAAATATCTACCTGGATGAGTACTAACAAACTTACACTAAACATTGACAAAACCTACTTCATTCAGTTTGGTAGCAGAGCTACAGATGTACCTCTTAACATAACGATAAACGGATCACCTATCACAAAGCTAACAGAGGGAAAATTCTTAGGAATCCACCTCGATAATAGACTCAAATTTCATACACATATACAACAAATTTCTAAGAAAATTTCCAAGACTGTAGGCATACTATCGAAGATACGGTACTAAGTTCCACAGTCAGCCCTCCTGGCCCTCTATCACTCTCTTATTTACCCCTATCTTACCTATGGAATTTGTGCATGGGGCTCAACAACAACTAACCATCTCAGACCACTAATTACCCAACAAAAGGCTGCAGTTAGAATGATAACAAATTCTCACTACAGGCAGCACACTCCACCAATATTCAAAACATTCAACCTACTCACCATACAAAACATCCATACTTATTATTGCACTTATTACATACATAGAACACTTAACTCTGATATTAACCCTCCCTCAAACATCTTGCCAACCTCAACAGAACACATGACCATAATACAAGGCACAGATCATTCTTTGATGTTCCTCGTGTCCATCTCACGCTATGCAAAAACTCAATGCACATAAAAGGCCCTAAAATCTGGGAAATTTATTACCTGTTTAAAAATAAAAGAAACACTACCTGTTTATAAATTCAAGTCTCGCCTCAAAGTTCACTTACTCACTCAAAACCAAATAAATACTGAATAACTGAACCATATAAATTGTATATCCTAAATGTTACTCACAATTATATCACACAATGTTAAACCTAACTTTGTATTTTTTTAAACACTACCTAACAGAATACTCCATTCTACTGAATGAACAGCAATGCATGCAACCATATGACCTGTTTTTGTAATACTCATTTGTATTTTATAGTTATCTGTTTACAATAATGTCTTATCACTGATTTCATCATTGCTTAGTTAATCTTAAGTTAATTGTAAGCCAGCCCGTAATGCTATGCATATAAGTGGCTTTGGCATGCTGCTCTTACCTGTATTTTTTTTTACCTCTGTATGTATGCTAAAATTTCTAAATAAATAAATAAATAAATAAATAAATAAATAAATAAACACATATTTGCATAAAGGAAATCAAACATCAACACATCATTAGAACCAAATAAGACTTTCCTTTAAGAACATAAAGAGAAACACTGCAAAGAATAACGAAATTAATCTATTGCATAAGAAATCTTCCTTACAAAGACTGAATTTTCTTAAATTACATTCTCTGTAAGACATGACTGAAGTGTATAAGAGGAAGATGGGCATCAACAAAGGAGATATAAATAGGGTCCTGAGGATATCCCTCCAAGAGAGAGCCCGTAATAATGGGTTCACATTGGATTAATTTATATTTAGAAAGGATATAGTAAAGTATTGGTTTGGAAATAGAGTAGTCAGTGATGAAGATTAAGACACATGTGCAACAGTTGGGTATCTTCACTGATGAAAAGTTTCGCCTACACAGTAGGCTTCTTCAGTCAAATACAAAGGGAGCAGTAGAAATGAAATAAAGATGATGTAATCTGTCCATCAACCTTGGAGAAAAAATATTTGAGGTGATCACTCCCACAGCCCGGAGAAGAGTTCAGCTCCATGGTCTGGAACGATATGAAGCTGAAGAATGAGATTGGAGTCTTAAATACCGTCGAAGGTGAGATGGGAGATCTCAAAGACATTGTAAGGGATGGGATCCACTAGTGGAAGTAAGAAGGCAGGTCCATCTGGAATTCAACCCTTTTCACTCATAACTAGTAGATACGCTATGAAGAATGGCAGTTGTCCTCTGTACCAAGATACCGTTGTGCTGCACTGTCTGACAGTATTGTTGAACATGATATAAAATCTTAATCTTGAACTTGTCGGTATTTTGTACCGTTTCAACAATACTGTCAGACACAGCAGCACAACGGTAACTTGGTACATCTTCCATTATGGAACGATATGAACTCTTTTCCAGGCTGAGGGACTGACCACCGCAAATACTTTTTCTCCAAGGTTGATGGACTGATTACATTTGACTGAAGAAGTCTACTATGTAGGCGAAACGTCTCATCAGTAAAGATGCCTAACTGTTGCACATGTGTCTTAATCCTCAACTTGTCGGTATTTTATACCATTTCCAACATTATGTTCCTATAAATCCAGTAATCTGTTTGCTTTATTAAGTACGCTTGAGCATTGCTGTCTTGGTTTCAGGTTTCTTCTTACCATAACCCCCAAGTCGTTTTCTAAATCTATATGGCTAAGTTCTACATTATTTAGTTATGGACATTCTCGAGCTTCAGAACTTTGTATATATCTACATGAACTGCATCTGTCACTTATTGACCACCAGCGAATTTGCTCATATCACTAATAATTTCCTGTTGTTTATAGTATATACTAATGCCCTCAACAGCAATGGGACTAAAACTGATCCCTGTGGAATGCCACTTGTTACATATCCGAACTCAGATTTTACTCCAGTTATGCACACTCTCTGCTTCCTGTTGGTGAGTCACGCAACGATCCATAACAGCAATTTTCCCCAATGTCATAAGCTGCCACTTTCTTTAATTAACAGTCCAAATAAATAATATCGAATTCTTTATCGCGATCAACAGCCTCAAAAGCTTTACTGAAGAAAGTCGGTAAATTAGTTAGGCAGGAACGACCCCTTGTGAATCCATGAGTATCAATAATCAAATTATTCATGTCAAGATGACTTCTTATAATATCAGCCATAACTAACTTGTAATTTGCCTACGATTGAGGTCAAGCATATTGGGTGGTAATTTGATGGCCATCTTCCACATATTAAACATTATACCTGATGAAGAGATATATTAAAAATGTTAGTTAATGGTTCACAAAGTTCCATTCTGCAATCCTTAAGAACCCTTTAAAAAAGTTCACCAGGGCCGGGGGATTTATTTTGCTTCAATCGGTCTACCTGCTTAATAATCACATCCCTAGTGACTATGATACTATTACTTCATTCCTACTATAAAAATTAATTACTGGGATATTGTTAGTGTCGTCCTGTGTGAAAACCAAGGGAAAATAATTATTAAAAATCGAGCACATTTCTTTCTCCTTGTCAGTATGATGCCCAGTTATTTTTAAAGGAGCCTATCTTTTCTCTAACTTTTATTCTATATACCTGGAAAAAAAACGTTCGGGTTAGTTTTCGAATTCCAGGCAATTTTATTTTCATTGTCTCATTCAGCTTTTCTTAGCCCCTTTTTAGCCTCATTTTTAATGTGAATATTTTGATTCATAAGATAATCCCACATCTTTTGATGCATCCATAATTCCTTTCTTCTGCCCTATTCGATCTTATTTCTTTATGCGGAATAAATGTTCTTTGAGCAGCATGTACAGTGTTTAGAAAAACCGTTATATTGATAACTTTCATCGTTAACCCCAGTCCACCGACGATAGGTGTTCTCTAAGTCCATTGTAATCTGCTAAGCGAAAATCTGGGACCGTTACTGAATTATCCCTACTATCATATTTCTACTATCATATATTCTATTCTATTGTGGTCGCTTGCGCTAAGTTCCTCTGTAATTTCTAAATTATTAACAAGGGATTCTTTGTTTGCCAGAATCAAGTCAAGCAGGTTATTTCCCCTTGTAGGTTCTGTAACAAACTGCTTTAAAAAAACAATCCTGAACTACCTCTACGAAGTCGTTAGACTCTTAAATTTCCAGTCAAGGAACTTAAAGCTCCCTAGTTAAAGTCGTGGTTCTCTGTATATTCTTCAATGAATTTACATCCATCCTGTACAATGGAGACCAGAACTGAGCAGCGTAATCCAAGTGAGGCCATATTAGTGATGTATAGAACTGTAAAATAACTTCCGGACTCCTGTTACTTATACTTCTTGAAATATATCCTTGTAATCGGTTAGTCTTATTGCCCACACTTAGGCACTGTTGTCTTGGCTTTAGATTTTTGCTTACTGTTACGGAGTACTGTAAAAAAATATTTATAAAAGAAATAACGCTCCATATATCATTTTCCGGGTTTGTACTGAATCCGAGCGCGTATTATTCCCGGCCAGTTAGAGTGGCCAGGAGACAGGAGCAGATGAGGTGTGGTGAGAGTCAGTCGGGGGAGCACACTCTTGCAACAAGATGGCATAATACATCACGGTATATGTTTAGTAGGGATGGTGTTTTTTTGTAAGTTTATACCATATGTTAGTTTATTGCTCTCATGTTTACCTGTAAGGCCCTAGTATGCAGGGGCCTGTGTTTTGGAGAGTATTTAGCGTTTACACTGTAGGCTATGTAGCCTGCAGAAAGGGGGGTGACATTGAGTCTCCCTGTTCATAAATGTTCATTTGTTTAGTTTAACTCATTAGTAGCAGTGTGCTAGTGAACTAATGTGAACTGAAGTGTGGTGGTTTTTGTAGTAGATTGTAAGTTGTATATAAGTTATTATTATTATATATATTTGTATAGGTGAGTTTTTATCCTTCCTAATAATAATAATTAATATTGTTTAATATATGAAGACATGCTAGCCCAAGGTTTGCTGTGTTTTCAGAGTAATTTTATAACCCCTAGACAGCAGTGTGAGCAGCCTTTAGGAGCCAGGAACATTTTATTTAAGTTACGATATCAAAATCGTAACACTTACCATGACTCCCAGGTCCTTTTCACGCTATGTGTGATCAAGTCATACTTCACCTAGCGTGAAGTATAACCGAGGGTTATTCTCATTCCCAAGGACTTGGGAATGACCACATTGAACTTCAGCTGCCACTCTTCAGACCAAGACATTAACTTGTCCAAATCCTCCTGGAGTTCATTGGTATTCTCCTCAGAATCAATCATTCGGCCTATTTTTGTATCATCAGTAAATTTGCTCATGTCAAATGTAATTCCTTCATAAAGATCATTAATGTAAATTATGAACAACAATGGGCCTAAAACTGATCCTCGTGAAATGCCACTAGTGACCAGGCCCCATTTAGATTTGACCCCCATTAATGGAAACTCTCTGCTTTCTATTGGTAAGCCATGCCTCTATCCATGCTAGAACTTTACCTCCTATACCACGAGACGCCATTTTTCTTAAGTCTTTCGTGAGGTACTCTATCGAAAGCTTTATTGAAATCCAAATAAACATCATATTTTTTTATCATTAACTACTGCCTCAAATGCTTTACTGAAAAACGTCAGTAGATTTGTCAGGCAGGAACGACATCTTGTGAATCCATGCTGAGATTCATTAATTAAAATATGCTCATCAAGGTGACTTCTAATAATATCAGCTATAATTGATTCTAATGATTTACCTACTATAGACGTCATCCTTATTAGACGGTAAGACTTATCCCCTAATTTAAATATACGAATTATAATAGCCATCTTCCACATCTTTGGCACAACACCAGTTTGGATGGACGCATTAAATACGCTCGGTAATGGCTAACTAAGATCCAACTTGCATTCCTTAATTAAGTACCCTTGAAAATAATTCATCGGGCCCGGAGACAGTTTGTCAACCTGTTTGATAACCATTTCCCTCGTGACAGTAATATTACTTAATTTGTTTTCTTCAGAAACTGAATAATTGTCATTTTCTGGGATATCATTTAAGTCTTCAGGTGTAAAGACTGACAAGTAATAACCATTAAACAGAGAAGACATTTCCTGTTCATTAACGTCAGCTGTCCATCCCCAGTTCTTATCAGTCTCATCTTTTCCCTGACTTTTGTCCTATACATCTGAAAGAACCCTTTTGGATTAGTCTTTGATTCACTAGTAACTTTTATTTCATAGTTGTGTTTTGCCTTTCTAATTCCCTTTTTTACTTCTCTTTTAAAATGAAGGTCAATAAGGCTAACCTTTCCTCTTTTGATGCGCCTATAAATTCCTGTTTTCTCTCCTAACAGGTGATTCAGTCTAATATAATTGATTATAATAGATGGATTAATAATTATTAATCCGTCTGGGATTATTCAGATTCCTTCGTATGATCGTCCATAAAATCATTAGCTAGATTACCCAATCAAGATTACACAGGTGTTCCCAAAGTCCATTATAATCTGCAGAACGAAAGTCGGAGACTTTTACCATATTATCCTTATTCTCGTATTCCCAGGTGATAATAAAGGTAATAGATTTGTGATCACTTGCGCCAAGTTCTTCAGTGATCTCCAGATTATTTACGAGTGTTTCCTTATTTGGCAAGACTAGGTCGAGCAAATTATTACCTCTGGTAGGCTTTGTTACACTGTTTCAGAAAGCAGTCCTAAATTACTTCCAGAAATTCACTTGATTCCAGATTACCGGTCAAAGAAGTCCACTCAATTTGACTAAAATTAAAATTCCCCACTATTACTACGTTATCGTGCCTAGAAGCTTTATCAATTTCGTCCCAAAGAAGTCTCCATCTATTGCTTTTTAAGCCAGGAGGTCGGTATATTTTACCTAAAATTAGTTTTTCTTGACTTTCTAGAAATTCTACTTGGATTCTGTTACTAATCCATCTATTTTTATACCTGTTTTTATGCAATAATTTATATTTTCTCGCCCATATAATGCAACTCCACCTTCTTTCCCGCTATATCTGTCTATATGGAACAACTTAAACCCTTAATATGGCACTCGGCAATCATATGCAATCACATGTTGTACACGTCTAATTTTTATCTTGTCGGTATTGTATACCATTCATATACAACTTGTCAGACACTGCAACATCATGGAATCTCCAAAGTCTTTTTTCTTGCCACTGGTCAGGCTTACTGGGCGGTAATTTAACGATAATGAAAATAATTTTTGAGGAGATGTATTAAAAAAGTTAGTTAATGGTTCACAAAGTTCAATTTTGCACTCCTTGAGAACCTTGAAAAAAGTTGATCAGGGCCCGGGGGTTTATTTTGCTTTCGGTCAACCTGTTTGATTAACATATTCCTAGTGACTGATATTACATAATTTATTTTCTTTAGGCCCAGTATAAAAAAATAATTACTGGAATATTTTAGTGTCTTCTAGTGTGACAACTAAGAGGAAATAATTATTAAAAAATCGAGCACATTTCATTCTCCTTGTCAGTATGTTCTTAGGTGTGTGTAGGCGTAAGTGGTGAGGGTAGCTTATGAGGGGAGGGTATGGCAATAAAGGTAGGATGGAGGGGGTAAAAGGGTAGGGCAGTGTGTGGGGTAAAAGTGAGTGTGAGGGTAAATGATGGAAGTCTAGTGAGATAAGGAGTACTGGGGCTGCGCATCCTGTATGAATATTACACGAAAGTATTTTTTTCATCCACCCAACAATTATACACCCCTTTCACCTTTTTGGGGTCCATATCATCGAGGTGATTTTGGATAAACTGGACGGAGGCCTGGAAATCAGCTTGGTTGAACTCGTAGGGAACATTCCAGCCCAGCGCTCCGTATTTCCTGCGTTCCTGCACAACAGTGTGAAGGAAGGCAGTGGCGTAGAGTAGTCTGGGCCACTGGTGGGCGTTGGTATGTCTAACAGGTCCTGTGGACGCAGGAATAAAGATATAGAAGGCAAAGAGTTAAAAGAGGCATATTAAAACAAATAAGAGGAACAGGAAAAGGATTTGAAACAAAATGATAACAAGTAAACGAGGGATAATTCTTGAGTATTGCTTTTTTTGTACTGGAAGGAAGTATTATAATGTGCAGTAACTTAGTGTAGTGTACTGGAAGTGAAGAAAATATTATAATGTGCAGTAACTTAGTGTAGTGTACTGGAAGTGAAGAAGTATTATAATGTGCAGTGACTTAGTGTAGTGTACTGGAAGTGAAGAAGTATTATAATGTGCAGTAACTTAGTGTAGTGTACTAGAAGTAAAGAAGTATTATAATGTGCAGTAACTTAGTGTAGTGTACTGGGAAGTGAAGAAGTATTATAATGTGCAGTAACTTAGTGTAGTGTACTAGAAGTAAAGAAGTATTATAATGTGCAGTAACTTAGTGTGGTCTCGGTGGGACCTGGTTATTACAGCACCGTGTCTTCCTTTGCAGATGACCACCCGAATCTGCATGACAGTGTCTTCCATTGCAGACACTGCAAGGCTCCAGGCGGACATCAACCAAATCCCTTTTAGTGGGCTGCAGAAAACAATATGAAGTTCAACGATGAGAAAATTTCAATTACTCAGATATGGTAAACATGAGGAAATTAAATCTTCATCAGAGTACAAAACAAATTCTGGCCACAAAATAGAGCGAAACACCAACGTCAATGACATGGGAGTGATCATGTCGGAGGATCTCACCTTCAAGGACCATAACATTGTATCAATCGCATCTGCTAGAAAAATGACAGGATGGATAATGAGAACCTTCAAAACTAGGGGGCCAAGC